TTCGTGAAGATCGGGCCATAATTGCGACCTGTAGAGTGATTACAAATTAACACGGACAGACGGACGGACAGACATACATAGCTAGATCGACTCAGCTCGGCGAGATAGGAAGATCCATATATACTTTCCTATGTGGGAAACCAATATTTCGAGGTGTTACATAATTTTTGGCCCAATCAAACTTATAATACCCCCAACACATAGTATTGTAGGGTATAAAAATTTAAAATTTATGGCGTTTGACTTTGTTGCAGTTTTTTTTTATCTCACCCTGTATACAGTACTCTGCACAAGATTTGGAACATGTTATAAACTATAAATACCGAAATTAACACAATTCCGTAAGGAAGTGTGGCTAAAATCCTCAAAGCAACGAATATGGGAAACATGCAATTATATGGCTCATCTTCGAACTGCCTATGGACAAAAGAGAACTCTATGCAAAATCTTAGCATTCTATTATATCCTCTAGCGTGATTACGGCAGACGGGCGGGCATGGCTAAGTCGAAATTGAATCTTATGTTGATCAAGAATATGTATATACTCTGTGGGGACTAATATGCTTATTTCGGGATGTTATAAACGGACTGACATAATTTATATACCCTCCATACTATGTATGGCGGTGGATATAACAACAACGAAACACATGTCTAGTATTTTAAGCTCGATTTTCATAACCTACCATGTTTTCCTTGTAATTATTTTTTGCGTTGCACAGTGTTATCTTCGAACTTACATTTAATTTTGGAAGGTTCGAATCCCTCATCTAGCAGTTATTCTTTCCTACATTCATTTGACTACGTTAAATCACAGAGTAAATTAATACACCATGGTGTTTACATTTACATTCTTTATTGTAATTAAACCTCTATGGCCAAATGTATTTCATTGAAATTTTATTTTATGTGGAGTTTCAAAAAAAAAAAAAATGTTCATCAGATTCCAGGTGTGGTATTGTACCGAGAGTATATTTACATGTTTATTTAATATTAAAATATTTCACTTGTACAAACAACCCCTATAACCGCAGTAATTTTGATAAATGTCATAATTTACACTGATTTCCATGTGCGACCGAATCACACACGGTCACACACTGACACACTCACTCACACACATGGACAACAATTTTCTGTGTGCATACAAATTTATAAATTGGCATTTAAATATCATTTCAACTGAAACGAATGCCTACAAAATTTTATCAAATTCATTGATGTGTTAAACGAAAACCTCAACTATTTTTCACCACAAAACTATTTAAATTACAAAATTTATACTTTTTTCCCCTCTGTCCGTCAGGGTCTCTCTTTCCCTTCGTCGATCGCTTTTATTTGCTCGAATATGAATTTTATTGATTTTTGATAGAGTCTAACCACAAATGTATTTAAAAAAAATTATACACGCCACAATCAAACAAACTGGACACAATGTTGGATTGGGTGATGCCAGCAGCGGAACCATTGACGAGCACGAGGTGGAGGACCATGCCGCCACCACTCTTCGACAGAAATAGGAAATATGGTTAGTTATCATAACATGAAATATTATTTTAGTAAACAAATTTAATGCGATTTAATATTTATGCTATGCAGCGTTTTCTATGTTAGATGGTGTCCAGCAAATTCGCTATTTATACAGATGCGCTGTAAATCGGAGTGTGTGTGCGTGCGTTTGTTACAAATTGCTTTTGCTGATAAATATTATTTAAGGTCTTGTTATTTATTTTTGTTCAATTAAATTGTATTCCATAAATTTGATGTTTCCAAAGGGCAATGCAAGAGGCCATAAGCCTGTGGAAAACCACAAAATGTCCTTCCTAATTAAGCAATCCCGGAAGTCTTTACATTTTCTTATCCATATATATAAACGAGTAGTGAAATAACTGAATGACTGAGAACCAACGCCCAGACGTAACGGCTGGAGCTAGAATCTTAAAATTTTGCACAAGGGTCAGTTTTGGGGAGTAGGCATGTAAAAAGGCTGGGTACAATAAGTACAAAATGTACTAAAAATTTTATACTTTGTATTGGAAAAACGGAATGAGCTAGAATTCTGAAATTTGTAATGAGAGTCACCGATAGAAGGATATAGTACAGATGTACCAAAGGGTTTTTGGGCATTCGAGATTTAAGCTAACGAAAAGTTCTAAAATGGTAATAAACATCTAAAATGTTACCATTTGGTACGATGTGAATGGATGGAGTTAAAAACTTGAAATTTGGCATGTGAATAAAGGATGGAAGTAAGTTTGATATATGAAGGAGGTTTTGGAATTTGGAACAGTTTGGCTAATGGTGAATGACAATTTTGTATTGGGATCCCTGTTGGTGGTAGGTTTGTGATAAAGAGGTGCTTTTGGAAATACAGAGTGAGATGAAAAAACTGCAACCAACTTCAGACTGCTGTCATTTCTAAGACACTCGTCCGACAGCTGTTAAAATTATTCCAGTGACAGCTCATTATATTGTTTACAAGCGTACAAAAGCATTTTGGTGAGAATTGTCCAGAAAAAAGTTATTCGTGATGGAATTCAAGCGTGATAGTGTGATTTCTTTATATTTGGCTGGAAAACCACAAGTGGCTATCGTTAAATGTGAATAAATATTTTGTGTCTCGTTACCGTGCTACTGGTAGCGTAGCCCCACGACAAGGAAGTGGACGGAAGAAAACAGCAACATCAGCAGAAATGATTCGAAAAGTATAGAAGCGACTTGATCGAAACCCGCGTCGCAGTGGCCGATAAATGGCTCGTGAGCTGAACGTATCGCAATTTTCCATTCGGCAAATATTGAAAAATGAGCTGGCAGTAAAGCCTTTGAAATTCCAAAAAGTGCACGAACTTACACCGCAACAGAAAGAAAATAGATTAAATGGAGATAAAAAATTGTCGAAAGTGGTGAACTGCCGAATTTGGCTTTCACCGATGAGAAAACATTTGTTGTGCAGCAGTTTGTAAACAAACAAAATGATCGTGTTTACTTGCCAAAGAGGTCAGCTAAAAATGTACACCTTCGGTTGGCCACCAGAACTCAAGGTCTCAGCACCATCGCACTCAGCACTCGTCACTCAAGAATGGTTACAAAACGAGGTTCATCGTTTCATTTCCAGCGCACAAAGGCCACCAAAATCTCCGGATAACAAATCCTTTGGACTAATGTGTCTGAAGTATTTTAGAAAGCAAGGTTGACACTAAAAAATATCAAAGTATCGATCACCTTAAGCAAGCGCTAGGCCGAGAATGGGCCAAAATACCGCAGGGCAGCATTCGGGCAGCGTGTGACGGATTCATTAGCGGTTTGAAGGCCATAATTCGTGCCGAAGGTGACCAATTCGAACAAATCTAAACTTATTCAAAAATTTGATACTCTTTCCGACATTTGTTGCTTTCATTCGTTTCTATGGCCGTTAGAAGGCCATAATTCGTGCTAAAGGTGACCAATTCGAACAAATCTAAACTTATTCTAAAATTCGATGCTATATCCGACATTTTTTGCTTTCATTCAATAAAATTTAAAAATATAAAAATTATGGCGTTTGACTTTTTTTCTTATCCTTTATATATACTTTGTTGGGTCTGATATATGTAATTCGAGGAGTTACAAACGTAATGACAAAGTTAATATACTTCCATAGTATGGTGGAAGGTATAAACTCCTATAAAACGCATACTCAAATTTTAGACATTTTTCGAAATTTATCATTTATTGATCTAATAGTACATACTTAAAAACGCTCAAAAATTGTGAATCTTGAAGCTTGAGAATCGAATACATAGTTCCGCAACTTTCAGATTTTTTTGAAAGAGAGGTTTGATTATTAAGGTTTAGACCCGATCAAGTCTCACATTCTCAACATTTTACAATGTAATATTTGAACAAGTTAAAAAGCAGTAAGTTCGGTCGGGCCGAACTTTGAATACCCTCCACCATTTGGAACGAATTTTAAAATTTTCAAAAATCATAATTCTTAAAAAATTCTGTTAAAATTTTAAAAATACCGAATATAGCCGTTATATTGAGGTCTATACGACGTGAACCTACATAGGCATTGTTTGTCATAAGCCATTACCATATTCAAATTCGAAACTTGAAATAAACGATGAATAATGCAGCTAAAATCGTCAAAATATCGTATATAGGGAGGTACCGTTATATAGGAGCTGTGCGAAGACCTGAACCAGCATAGACAATTTTCTGTCACAGGCTGTAGCATCCATTACGAACTTCAAATACGACATCTCAAATAATTTCGATGAGTTTTGTACCTAAACTCGTCAAAATACCGGATATAGGGAGGTACTGATATATGGGCCCTATACGAAGACCTGGACCTGCATAGACAATTTTCTGTCACAGACTGTAGTTCCCATTACGAACTTCAAATAGCAAATTTGAAAAAAAAGAGAATTACGGTGAATAATGTCGCTAAAATCATCAAAATACCGAATATCGGGAGGTACCGTTATATGGGGCCTATATGAAGACGTGAACCTGCATAGACAATTTTCTGTCTTAGGCTGTTGTATCTATTTCGAACTTCAAACGCCAAATTTGAAACAATTCCGGTGAATAAGGTCGCTAAAATCATCAAAATACCGAATATCTGGAGGTATTTATATATGGGGGCTATATGAAAACTTAGACCTACATGGCCCACTTACGAACTTAACCTGCCTACTGGAAAAATAAACATGTGTGCAAAATTTTTCTTTGAGGTCAATGAATTGCAATGCGATTGATTTCCCGCAGCGTTGAATTAAAAGTCAAAACTTGTTGCTAACTGTTGTTGTGGGGGCCATAAACTGTTGCCGTGCCTTCTAAATATTATCTAGAAAGATAAATAACCCTGAATTTATTAGAACTATATTTAGCATGAAAAGATGTAACTTTTTATTGGCTATTTGTTTAAAAGGGTTTATGATGTTTGGCTTTCTTATAAATGTACTGCAAAATAAGATAACAATTTTTTTTATATAAAAGATGGGAATCGGGATTCGAATCAGTTCAGTTTTCTGTGCAAACGCATCGTTGACAGAATGAAAAGTGTTACAGTGATAGCTATAGCATTTTGCATGGCCGCTGTGGCTCTGGAATCAGTACGAGCTGTTCCAACATTGCAACGTGGTTTTGATGGTGGTGTTTTTTACATTGAAATAGATCAGAATGTAAGTTCCTTGTCATTTGATTTGAGATTTGAGTGATATTTAAATAATACATTTCTGGTGTTTCTCTCTTTCAGTACAATTGGTTTGAGGCAGCACACGAATGCGCTCGAAAGGGACTGCAACTTCTTGAAATACCCGACGGTAACAAGAATGCCGTTGTAGTCGATGCACTGAAGTCATACGTTGGTATAACATACATTCCGAGATTAAAGCTAGAATTGATCTCAAAAATTGTTCTCTCAAAATTTAGGAAACCCCAGGGATTTTTGGTTAGGAGCTAATGATGAATATAACAGAGTCAAGGACCCAAATCGTCCATTCTACTGGTCATCGAAGGGTGGTCGTGTTAACTACTCTAATTTTGCTAAAGGAGAACCAAAAAATATGAACAGTAATGAACATTGCTTGCACCTTTTGGCTAATGCAGCTGGGTTCCAATGGAACGACAAGGACTGTGCTGCTAAACATGGATTTATTTGCGAAGCAAAGGCATAAATTGGAATTTGCTCTCACAATTGCTTGCAAAAATTTCAAAGTAAATAAAATATAAGAGAAGTATTATTGAAATAATTAAAAAACATTGTAATTCTGCATTCAAAAAAATTGTATTCATTTTTTTCAATTCGAAATATATCTTAGAATGGTAGGTGGATAGACCCATAATTCCTTTTGATTATCTGCATAGAATCACATTCTGAGTCGATTTATGCATGTCCGTACGTCTATCTGTCCATATATTATTATAAACAAAGCACGTGTCGCATTTATTGCCCGATCCAGATGAAATTTTGCACAAGTGATTTGTTTGACCCAAGGAAGACTCCCATAGAAATTGATAATATTATCGGTCAAAATTGAGATATATCTCCCATATATATCTTCGTACGATTTGCCTTTTATTGTGCGCCAAACGTGTAATATCCGCCCAAGTGGTATGGAATTTTGCATATATAACCAATTTGTCTGTCCGTCTGTCTGTCTGTTGAAATCACTATACATCCCACATTATTTGACGTAGAACCTCAAAATTTTGCAGAATAATTTGTATTGTGCCTAGGATGGTTGGTATTAAAAATGAGATATATCCGCCCACGTTGTGGTATAGTTCCCATATAACGGTTGATCATAATGGGTTCCAGCTCCGGTGGCAAAACATTGCATGTATAGGTCCACGATTTGGTATAGCCCCCACATAATGGTACCTCCCGATATGCGGTATTTTGATGGTTTTCGTTACATTTTTTCACGGATTTGTCTTAAAACTGGTATTTGTTGGTAATAATTGGTTCTGGCTGCGGTGGCGAAACATTGTATGTTTGTATACATTTTCAATACCAAAAGTCCTGCAGACATAGTATACAATTGAGTTAAATTTTATCAACCTACTTCATTTCGTTCGGAAGCTAGAGTTATTTCCACAGACGGACAGATGGATAGACGGACGGACATTGATAAATCGATTTAGAATTTTATTATTATCAAGAATATATTTACTTTTTGGGGTCTAAAATGTAAATTTCGAAGTGTTACAAGCGGAATGACAAACTTACTATGGTGGAGGGTATAAAAATGTAGACCAAACTATTACACGTTTTGTTAGCAGTAGCATTGCCCAAGAAACTAAAATGAACAAATTATAGTGTCTTTAGACTTTTTTGTCAATATCGTTACATTAAAGTCACGACATTAATAAATTTTGGTAACATAAGTCTGGACGACATTATATGTTACAATGAATACCTGGAAATCCTTCGTCCTTGGTTTTTTTTTCGTCATTGTACTTTTTGCACACACTTTAAGGATATAAATATTCCTTAAGGACATGTTGTTGTTGTTTTTATTTTTCAGTTTTTTTTTTATGGAGTATAAATCAATGGCAAACCTACGCATACTATGTTCCTGCGTATACGGTGTATACATAAAAAATTTCACGGTCGAGGAGGTACCCATACATGCATACAAGTTTGTTGTTTGACGTAATTTAACAACAGTGATGAAGATGGTCTGGGGTCTTTACGTAAACAGTGTTTATCTTTACATCTTGAGTTAAAGACTCAATATTAGTATAACCTTCATGTCATGTCGTCTTCGAATAAAATATGAGTTAAAAATCATAGGTATGAGCCTCATGCATCAAACACATTTTATATTTACGATAATATCGATGTAACTGGTTCGCTACAAATCAATAGATTGTGAGATAAATACCACCAGCAAATGGTGGTATAGACCCCAATATAACGGTAACTCCCGGTATTTGTATGATTTTAACTGCATCATTTATCGTTTTTATGCCCTCCACCATTCTATGGAGGGTATATTAGCTTTGTGATTCCGTTTATAACTCCTCGAAATATTCATGATAGACCCTATTTATAAATATATATTCTGGATCAGCGTAAAAATCCAAGACGATTTAGCAATGCCCGTCTGTTTATTTTAATCACGCTTCTTTCAGTTGGCAGGTTAAGTTTATAAATGGACCATGTAGGTCCACGTCTTCGTATAGCCCCCATATAACGGTACCTCATTTTAGTCAGTATTTTGATGATTTTTCAAATTTCGTATTTGAAAATCTTAATGGTTTTTATATTTAAAGGGTATTTTTTCGGAATTTGTTGACATTTTCTCCCAAATGGTGGAGGGTATTAAAAGTTCGGCCCGTCCGAACCTACCCTTTCTTATTTATTTATTTAATTTTTATTTTTTTTATCCTGACCCGGCCGGACTTACTGGGCGAGAATAAAAAACTGCAACAAAGTCAAACTCCACACTTTTTACACTTTTTTTAATTTTATTAAATGAAAGCAAAAAATGTTCGATTTGGTCACCTTTGGCACGAATTATGGCCTTCAAACGGCCAATCAAACCGTCACACGCTGCCCAAATGTTGCTTTGCGGTATTTTGCTTCAGGTGATCGACACTTTGGTATTTTTAGTGCCAACATTGCTCCCAACCTTGCAATAGTCCAACGGATTGGTATACGCAGATTTTGGTAGCTATTGTGCGCTGGAAATGAAGCGGGGAACCTAATTTTGTAACCATTCTTGGATGACGAGTGCTGAGTACGATAGAGCTGAGTCCCGTTGGAATGTCCAAGGTCTGTGGCCAAAATGTTTGCGTGCCCAAGGCTTCAATACACCCTCCAGAATATTTTTGCGATAATATTCGGCATTTATTCTAATACCACGGTCGATTAATACCAGCGGAGAGCAACCATCGGCTGTTATGGCGGCCCACTCTTTTACCATGGCCGGCACTTGAGTTCTGGTGGCGAACCGAAGGTGCACATTTTCAGATGACTCAGTTGGTAAGTAAACACGATCATTTTGTTTGGTTACGATTTTTATGGCTTAACTTGTTCGATGCCAAAGATGTTGTTTAACAGATGATGTTGCACTGATTTGCTTGTTCTTACTCGGGAGCGAAACTTGCTAGCAAGCAGCATTGCTCGAAGAGCGGGAGCGTTTTTACAGAGTGTACTCTTTACTTTTTTGTTTTGTGTGGCAGCGCTCCCGAGTCTCTGCTGATTAAAAAAATAGAGTGGAAGCAGAATCGAACAAAAACTAAAAGAGTGCTCGGCAAGAGTAGGATATGACCGAATTTCAACGAATTTTTCTCCCACTCAAGTAGTACCCTAATTTGTTGTATATTGACAGTCCATGTAAGCAAAAAAAAAGAACCTTGCTAAAAAAACAGTCCATATTGGCCCAAGTTCTGGTATTTGGTTTATGTATCGGTACCTCCCAATATTCGTTACTTTTAAGTTTTCGTACAGCCCCCATACAGCAGAACCTCTAGATATTTATTACTTGAATTGTTGATAAACATATTAATTGTAATTGTATTCAATTTTGTAGCTAGAATTCGCAGAAAATAGAGTTTCATGTTTTCGTATAGCCCACATGTAACGCAACCTCCATCAGGACTATTCTGTAAATTTTATAGATTGAGAAAAAATTAAGTTTTTTTAAATATAAACAATTAGTAAAGTTGTTTAAAAGTCATCTACGGGTGTATGATACTTTGACGATTTAAACCAAATTTGAAATAGAATTGTTAAAATTTGATATCTGATAATAAACATTCATACATGTCTACATTTTAGTACAACCCCCATATAACGAAACCTACAGATATTTACTATTTATTTCGCATTTATATTTTTCTGCTAATTTTTTTTTTTTTTTTTTGGAAATTTGATATTGCAAATTTTCACAAATTGTTCGAATACTGGATCTCAGAACTTGTCAAAATATTTAATTTTGGTCCGGAAAAGTTTAAAAACTTTTTACTTGCCTTATTTTTTGTTAGCTACGTTTCTTTATAAAAGTTATTTAAATTTTCTTAAAATTTCACATTCGCCACCACATTGTGAACCGCTTCGCTTCACTGTATTCTCATATATTAATAGATACAATATTTATTCATGTCGCTCAGCTACGGGTGATTAATCAATGAAGATGTATTTTACTGACACTTTTATAGACCTATTGGGTTAATTTAAGCACATTACTGTCGGCATGGTACCGTGGCTGCCTAATGGTATATGGTGTTTCTGCGCAGACTGGATGCGGATGTATGGGTTTTGTTTATGATATATGACGCAATGTTGTACAATCACACCATTTAACCTCACACCATTTTTGCGTAAGGCAGAAGCGTGTTCGATGCTGTGCATTCCTTATGCGTTTATTGTTGAAGATAAATGAAGTGGCGCGTGGTTGTTGTCTTGACATTTTGTTGGATTTTTAAGTAAAATAGTATAATAAAATTAGGTAGCAGTTTAGAAGCATTGGCGCGTAAAATTTTATAAATGAGACAAATACCGAATGGCGGATAAGCAAAGGAAAGAAATTTAATTAAATGAAAGAAATGTACAATTTGCATGAATTTATTTTACTCAATGATTCCAAACCAAAGCTAAACAGTTGGGAAATGTGGCCCTACCTCCGTGAAATTTTATATATGTATAGATATAATAATAGAAATATTGTCTTACATTCATTGTAAAAATTCCAATATATATATCAATAATTAAAAAATTGAAAATAAGTTATTTATTCGTCTCTTAAGTTAGTTTTTGTATATGGAGGATATATTATGCTTGTCATTCCGGGTTACAAACCTCGTGTTACAAACCTCGAAATACACATTTTAGACCCCACAGAGTATATATATTCTTGACCAGCATAAAATTCTATGTTGATTTAGCGATGTCCGTACGCCTGTGGAAACCACTACAGCTTCCGAACGAATTGAAGTAGATTGATAAAATTTTACTCTAATGTATGTTATGTCTGCAGGACTTTTGGTATTGCAAATGGACCATGTAGGTCCACGTTTTGGTATAGCCCCCATATAACGGTTCGGATATTCGGTATTTTGTTGATTTTACCCACGTTATTCACCGGGATTGTTTCAAATTTGGTATTTGAAGTTCGTAATGGATACTATAACCTAAGACAGAAAATCGTCTATGCAGGTAAAGCCCGTAAAGCCCTCATATAACGGTACCTCCCGATATTCGGTATTTTAAGGATTTTAGCGGCATTTTTCACCGGAATTGTTTCAAATTTGATATTTGAAGTTAGCAATGGAT